CGGAAGAAGCGGCGGCAGCGGCTGGAGCTCTCCCTTTTTCTCACCCTTTTCTTCCGATATTGACCACTGCGAAGCTGGCAGCGGCGGCCCTGGAGACGTGTCGGCCGTGGCCCATGCTAACGTGGACTGGCTCGAAACCAACAAGGCCCACATCTTCCGCGTTGAACTTCCCGGTCGAAATATATATATAAATATATATATATATATATATATTTCAAATTAATTAAAATTCCTTATTTTATTTATTTTGTCTTATAAATTAACTTGAGCACCACGAAATAGGATTAATTATCCACCTCACCGTTATGCCTGAAATCGAAAGGGAAGCAACAGTCATAGGTTGTCTAGTGGGCGTGTGTGCTTTTTTCTCAGAGGGCTGCGATCTGGTGCGGCTGACCCTAGGGAAGCTGAGCGGCTTACTGTATGGTCGCAGGGGTGAGAAGAGAAGACGTGAAGGTGGAGGTGGAGGATGACGTCACGCTGCAGATAAGCGTGGAGAGAGTGGTTGAGAAGGAGGAGGAGAACGACAAGTGGCACAGGGCCGAGCGGCGCGCGGGGAGCTTCTCGAGGAGGTTCCGGCTGCCGGAGGATGCTGACGTGGGAGGGATAAGGTGTGGGCTGGAGCACGGGGTGCTTACGGTGGAGGTGCCCAAGAAGGACGTGCAGGAGCAGCCCAGGAATGTTCGTTGCATAGATGTTGCTTGAATTTAGGGCGCTCTGCCTTTTGCTTTGCTTTGATATGTGTGTAGTGTGATATGGGTGTTATCTTTTTTCTTTTCACTCTATATATATAGACGGTGTAAAGTATCTTTTGATATGCTTATGCTTTTGTAAGTTGCATCGGCTTAATAAAACAATAGTCCACTTTGATGTAAAGAATCGAAGTTCAATTCTCTAGATGAATTTGGTTCCTTCTCTGTTGGTCAGAATTTGATATCAAAGATTAAGTAAATGAGATGGAAAAAGTATTGATAGAATTACCAATTGAGCGTCTCGCTACAGTATACTCGTGCGATGCACGAGACCATTATTACCTACTTTATTTTTTAAATGTAATTTTGTATTTAAATTATGTGATTCTAAATGTAATTTTGTATTTAAATTATGTGATGACATTAAAAATACCTTAAAAAAATTATATATTATTAAACACTTTATCATGTGCAGAATTCTTAGTTTGATTATTTGGAACAAAATACTATATGAGTATTCAAATTTTATCTAAAATTATGTATTATTAGTTATTAATTAATAAATTATATTTTTATAAAAAATTAATAAATTCTATTTATTAAACAAAATTCGAGTATTCAAATTTTATCTAAAATTATGTATTATTAGTTATTAATTAATAAATTATATTTTTATAAAAAATTAATAAATTCTATTTATTAAACAAAATTCTAGTAGAAAGAAGTAGAATTTTTGGTTTTTTCACACACATTTTTTTAATTCTAATTGAAAATTCAATTAAGTAAAATTGAAAGAATCATCAATTTTATCTAAAAATAAAATCAAAATTTTCTACCAATATACCGGTTCTCTTACCAAATTAATTGATCCGAATGTTTGGTCAAAACAAAGTGAAAAGAATCATCAAATTTTCTTAAAAAATGCAGCTAAATTTTCCTAATATTGCAGCATTTTTTTAACAAAATAAATTGAATTGAAATTAATTCTAATAAAAGATCAGAATATTTTGTTAATATCCATGCAATTGTTTTTTCCTAAAAATTTTGATATGAACTTAACAAAAAAATTGATATGGACTTACCAAATTTCGGTAAAACATGGTTAAGAAAAATATAATATAAGAATCCAAAAAATATGTGCATTCAAATTTTGAAAAAGTTGCACACGATTTGATTTTAGTTTTTCCTAAATTATAGTGAGCAACCCGTGCGATGCACGGTAGAGTTTATTACTCAAAACCTTTTTTAAACTTTATTGTAAGAGTTTGTGATTCTGTAGTCTGTTTATCATACTCGAGAAACAACATAATATGAAATTATTATCTACCAGAAATTATATGAAAAATATGTATTACCTATTATGGATAATGCTCTCACGGTGGGCACATGTTAATATGCCCACCGCTTATGTGGCATGCACATATTGGTGATGTTAATATGTTCAAAAAAATACATCACCAATGAGTACATGCCAAATAAGCGGCAGCCATATTAAACATGTGCCCACCGTGGGTAGGTGAGCATTACTATACCTATTATATAAATATTGTTCTTAGTTAGATACATACGAAAATGAATGAATATGTTTAACAGTGTTGCTGGATAAAAATAATTTAAAATATTGAATTCAAACCAAAATAAAAGCGGGACTATTTCTTTATTTTTTAAATAAATTTCCATTAAATTGATACAATTTAGTATATCATTCTGTTGAAACAATACATATTTGAAAGAAAAATATGTATAAAAACACTTAAATTTATCATATATATAATCTCTATATCTATGTGTGTGTGTGTGTGAGTGTGTATATACATATATAAATGTAGATCCTTAATATATATGATGTGGAATAATTGTACAAAAAAACATGTTTAAAAGTATCTAAAATATTATATTCATAAATAATATGTATTACAACTTAAAATAAAAGTTGATTTAAAAAAAATCAACTAACCGATTTACAATAGTTAACGAAAAAATATAATGAAAAGAATCCAATCTTTAAAAAGGTTTTGTAGTTAAAAATTTCGACTACCAATCGTAGTGTGATTTTTAGGAAAATTTAACAAAATTTCACACAATTGTGCGGTGTGATTTTTCGAAAAAGTTAATAAATTTTACATGATTGTGTGGTAGGGATTTTCAAAATTTGCAATTTTCAGCTGCAAAATAGTTTAAACAGACAAATATAAATTGGGGTTCTTTTTAAACCGTAAGAAGTTGTTGTAGCTAGACAACAATTGGTTGTGTGATTTTTTCGAAAAATTTTAAAAACTTTCATCGATTGTAAAGGCGGGATTTAGAAAATGAAAATTCAAAAAAAAAAAAAAAATTTATACAAGTTTAGAAACTTTGAAAATTTTAGGGGAAACTTATTTTCTAATTTAATTAAATAGATTGTCTTTTAAATATCGATAGATAGATTAATCGGTTGTTAATATAAAAAAATAATGAAAAAAATTAAAACTTTAAGAAGTTATTGTAGTTAGGTTTGTCCACACATGTGATAAGATCAAATAAAATTATATTAGCTAAATTTTATTCATATTCGCATTAAACTATAGTGGAGATTGATATGATTTATTGTAGTGTATTAGGGGTTAGACTCAAGTTCTAAGCAGTTTGATGCCGCTTAAGCAAGGTCTCGGGTTCGAGTCCTTGTGATTGCAGAAAACCCTTGTTGGGAGACTCACTCACCACTGCCAGGTGTGCGATCCGGGTCGACCAAAGGATTAGTTGGGGCATAGCTCCGGATACCGTGGCTGACTACCAAAAAAAAAAAAAAATTGTATCTATATTTGTATATTTCATTGTATTGATGATTTTCCATATCAAAGTTTTGTACAAATTATTGAATTGTAATCTGATTGGAAATTTGTAATAAAAAAATATTTTTCTGTTATTAATGTTGAATTTTTCTAAAACTAGTAAAGTGCACGTGCGATTCACGTGGTGTCGAATACTTTTCGCGGAGTAAGTTTGTAAAATAAATTAATTTATTTATTAAACATATCATTGCATAAATGAAGTAAAATATAGAAAAAATGAACTCATATGTGATTTTTTTTATTTAGAATTAACATAATGATGTCCTCATATAAAAATAGTGAAATAACGTTTTACAAACTCCAACAAAAATATATGTAAAAAAACAAATTCCTAATAAAAAAACACAGAGATTTTCTTTTATTTTAGTTTTAACATTCTCATAAGAACATTCATAGTCGTTGGAGTCCAATACATCAATACTATTGCAAAATTCCTCTTAATTAATTTGGCAAAACGCTAATTTTATTCAAACACTTAAGAAACATTCTGACCCAACATATAGTCAAACTTCATGATCATATGATCTTTATAATAAGGTACTTCTACTAACAAAGGATGAATATCTGTATGAAATAACTAACGGTGTCACTAAAATTGCTGATATTTTTTTATCACTGTATAAACTACTACATTCCTCTATCTCTAGATATATTGGTGTCTACCCTATTGATGCATCGCCCCACGAGGTGGGAATGAATTTTATCTCCAAATAAAAGTTGACTTTCCAAAATCTTGGTTACATGTACTTCTCCCGAGGTGCTAAATTATTTTTCTGAAATCATCATATATTACCTGAAAGTACCTCTAAAGTAATTGCACATATGTTCAAGCACAATACACCAATGAGATTATAAATATTTCTATAAAAAGTGACAATTTAATTCTAACATCCAAAACTGTTTTGATACTCCTACATTTCATTTTCAGTGTTATTTATCTAGAATATAGACGAACAATATAATCTAATTTTTGCAATGATAAAACAAAACAATGAGAAATATTGAGAAGTGATGAAATGCATAGTCACATGAGCATTGACCAAACAAAGAATCAAGAGGGATGAGTTTGTTTTATGTCCACGTCTTGCATGCATGGGCCACAGTATTTTTGCTTTTGAATTGCTTTGTCTTTTAGCTTTGGTCTTTAGGGCTTTAGTCTCCATATATATATTGTACATTCAGCTCAACAGATTGTGTGTTAAGAATACAAATCTCAGATCTGATATTGTTCATATGAGCCGCCATGTACGGACGTCTCTTTCTTTGTGCTATGACATGAAATTCTTCATGGCATCAGAGCCATAATTTTCTTCTCATCTCTGTTTTCCTTTTTTTTTTTCTTTTCGATTCATTGGGCCTTTATTGATTTTCTTCTCATGGCTTTCGCCACTCCAACCTCTGGAATTTCGAGCTCCTCAAACTCCAATGGAGGACTGAACCAGTTAATCTTTCCTCAGTCCCAGCTCATCTCCACTAAGCTTGAGGATTCAAATTTCTTGATATGGAAGCAACAAGTACTCACGGCCATTAGAGGATATGGCTTGGAATCCTTCATTGCCTCAACAGTAGCTTCTCTTGACCGTTTCATTCCACCAGAACAAGGAACCATTCCCACTGTTAATCCTGAATATGATCTTTGGCAGAGACAAGACCAACTTCTAGCCTCTTGGATCTTGTCCTCTCTCAGTCAAGGTATACTTGTTCTTGTAGTTGGTTTTTCCTCTTCTAAAGAAATATGGAATTCTCTTGAAAGAAACTTTGCTAGCCAATCAAGAGCTAGGATAATGCAACACAAGCTTGAGCTGCAAACCATGAAGAAAGGAAGCCTAACCATGAGAGAGTATTTGAACAAAATGAAAACTTGTTTTGATCTTCTAGCTGCTGTTGGTGAAAGGGTCAGTGAGTCTGATCAAGTCCTACATCTATTAAGTGGTTTAGGACAAGAATATAATTCTATCATGGTAGCTGTTACTTCTAGGTTGGAACCTTGGACCATGATTAATCTTCAGTCTCTTCTTTTAAGCTATGAGTCAAGGCTAGATTTTCTGACCACCAATGTAAGCCAAGTGAACTCAGATAGATAACAACCCACTCTTAACATTGCTTCCAAGGAGTCTAGTGCCTCTGGTCAAGGAAGTACCTCAAACTTTAGAGGTAGAGCTGCTATGTTTAACAATTGGAGAGGCAGATCAGAAGAAGTGGCTCTTTTAGAGGAAGAGGTGGAAGATATCAAGGCAACAGAGTTCAGTGCCAAGTTTGTGGCATTATGGGGCACACTGCTGATAAATGCTGGCATAGGTTTGATCAATACTTTGTGCCAAATCAGAACCAAGGCCACAATAACTTTCAAAACAGGAACAATGGCCAACCAGCTCTACATATAGCTCAGTCTAGTGCAAACTCCTCAACAAATTCTGAGACTGGTTTGGATAATGGCTTGTGGTACCCAGATTCTGGTGCATCAAATCATGTTACTAATGATTTCTCCAATCTCAGCATTTCAAATGAATATCTTGGTGGAAATAGACTTTAAATGGGAAATGGTTATGGTGAGTCAATAAGTCATATTGGTACAAGTCACTTGAAATCATCAGTGAACTCAAGAATCTTTGTTCTTAATAATCTTCTCCATGTACCAAGTGTCACTAAGAATTTATTATCAGTTTCTCAATTTGCCAAGGATAATGGTGTATACTTTGATTTTCACCCCACTGTTTATTTTGTGAAGGACCCAACAACTCAGGCTGTTCTACTCCAAGGGACACTCAATGAAGGTCTGTACCAGTTTAACCTTCACTCTACAAGTAAAGATGATGAACAAGTGGATGTCAATCAAGAAGTGAATTCTCCTTTAGCTCATGCAGTTACTTTTCCAAGAAAGCCCAACTTAGAGTTGTGGCATAAGAGATTAGGTCACACTGCTTATGATGTAGTTAAAAGAGCCTTAAAATCTTGTAATATGACTTATGACTTGAATGAAGAGACCAATTTATGTTCAGTGTGTGCAGTGGCTAAAAGTCATAAA